GCTGGGGCGGGGGGCGGCACCGGGCGGGCGAGGGAGCCGAGGCGAGCCGCGCCGCGCCGGGAGGGATTCCCTCCTCGCCCTCGCTTCGCGTTCTCCCGCTCGCTTACTATTTTTTGGAAGATTTTCAAAAAAAAAAGTGGAAGTGGATTTTGATTGGGAAAAATCTCGTGTCTGAATGTTTACAAGCACCGCGTGTGCGGGGAGCCTCCTGCCAACAAACACAGGCGAGAGCGAGCCCGGGCTGAGCACACACACACACGCACGCACACACACACACATGCACACGCACACACACGCTCGCACACACACGCTCGCACACACTCGCACCCTCACACCCGCGAACGGCCCTTTCTCGCCGCCGCATTTCAACCCTAAACCAAATCCGCTCACCCCGGGAGAGAAAAAACAAACCCCCAGCCCCACCACACCGTTCGCAACAAAAACTCTCCGGCTCCCTCCCTCCAGCCGCCACCACACACACCAGGGCTAGATGCAAGATAAGCGGGAGCGCTCTTTGCACAACAAAAGGCAACTCGAGCTGGAAAGGTTTGGGGCGAGGGGGGTGGGAAGGAAGGGAGGAAAAAAAAAAAGCCCCTTTTCCTCGGGGTGAGCTGGGGGGGAAGGGGAAATGCTGCATGCTTCTCCTCGCTCGTTGTTTCCCCCCTTCTTCTTCTTTCTTTCTTTCCTTCTTTCTTTCTTTCTCTTTCTTTCTTTTCTTTCCTTCTCTCTCTCCCATTAGTCCCGGCGGGTTTTGTTCCCTCCCAGGGATGGCAGAAAACCCAGGGCGATTTCTCCCTGCCGACGATCCCCGGCTCCCTTTCCTCTTCGCAAAAAAACTTTACGCTGCCATTTCTCTCCCCCCACGGCTGCACAGACATTTCCAGCCAGGTTCGCACATGGAGCCCCTGAGCGAAACGCTGGCTCTTCGCAGGCAGCCGCTCCGCTGCGGGCAGGGCCGGCCCGGGGAGCTCTGCCCTGCCCAAACTTTTCGCTAAAACCCGGTGGCGGGGGGGAGGGAGGTCCAGGGGCTC